CGCTCAGCCAAGATATCAAAAAAAATTTTTTTCAGGAGAAAGGAGGATACGGGCGGTTTTTTCTCCAAAAAGATAATTTTCTCCGCCGACGCGGAAAGTGGTGTATTCGGCGAAGCCTTTTGATAGCTTTCTTGGTCATCACACCAATTTTAAAGCGTTTTTTTGGACCCAAAATCCCATCAAATGTCTTGTAAGCACAGATTCAACACAATGACCGTATTTTACACCCATCTTCGTGCAAAATAACCCTTCCACTTTTACCCATCGCACCCCTTACTCGACAGTATTATTGCTCCCAATTTGCGCTTCGCAAATCCCCCTAAACGCCCTCAAAACAAACGGAGGGAAGAGGGTCATCGCTCAATTCGAAAGTTATTCGGCTAAAACAACATCTACCCAATCGATTCCATATAACTTTTCCCTTCCAAAGCATTAAAGTCGTTTTTTCGCTCAAAATGAAGAGAGCGAAAATGGGGGAATCGTAAAAAAAAGTGGTCGTTCTGCTAAAGCTTTGGGGAAAATTCGTAAAAAAAATTGCTGACAGAAATATTTTTATTAAAAAAATGGTAAAATACGACATACGATATTGTTCTTTTTATAAAAAGAACTTTTTTATTTCGACTGGTTGATAAAAAATTTTTAAGGTATTCACAAAAAAAATGAGAAATTCAGCCTTAACTGTCACCATTCCGGTATTTTTTAGATTTTTTCAAATTTAAAAATTTTTAAAAAATTGACTGGTCGATTCTTTTTTCGAACTCAAATTTTGCAAAAAAAAAATCAATTTTAAGATTCAAAAAAGTGGCTACAACGACAAATTTTAGGAATTTTTCAGAATCAAAAAATTTCCAAAAAAATCGACCGGTTGATTATTTAAAAAAATTTCAGTTTGATATTTAGTTCAATATCCCCAAGAACAATTACGGAAAGAGAAAATGTTTTGTTTAAAAATTCCCCAAACGTCTTTTGTTATATCGAATAAAAAAAAGTTTTATCCGCGCGGAAAAATGGGGCGAACCTTGACGGAATCGAGGTCGTTGGCGCCAAAGGCCGGCAGACGCTACGGGAAGAAGTTGTCGAAATGGAAATCCAATCCGAATAAAAGAGTAATCAGAATGGGGGATGTTAACAAGGAGGGGGTGTTCGGGAAGTGTAATGTAATGCGGAAAGGTGGGAAAAAATGTGGAAAATATGGAAAAATCGGCAACAAAATAAAAAAACAAGATTTATTTATTGAGAAATTGGAATGCATTATTGAGAAAAAGGCTTGAAATTTTTTTTGAGGAAAAAATTTTTTTTGATTAGAAATAATTTTAAAAAATGTAGTAAAATTGCGAAAAACAGACCTTGTTGAATTCAAATGTTCTAACACGAGAAGTACCCCAAGTGCGACGCTCAGATTTTCTTTAAATTTTGCACACACGTCGGGCATGGACTAAATATCAATTCCTGAAAGTTTTAGCTCGAGCTTTGCGGGCGCCGCCGATATATCGAACGATTTTTGCTGCCGAAAGAGCACGCTAAACGTGGAGAGCGGTCAGAGAGAAAAACGCTTTTTGGCCATAACTTTGGCAGTTTCGTGCGAAAAAATTTGATTTTTTATAGAAACATTATACTTTACGGTAGAAACAGGTTTGCAACTTTTTGTGCCGAAATTCGGCAAAAAGTCCTAAATTTTCGCCGACTTTCGATCCAAAAATCTCGGCTGTTTCTGCAAAGCGCGAGCTGGGATTCTCACTTATATTTTAGAAAAAATACTCTAAATCTGTGCCAAGTTTCATCAAAATCTGAGCGTCGCACTTGGGGTACTTCCCCTGTAAGAAATATTTAAGTTTTTTAGCACCGTTGGCAGAATTATCAAGATTTTTAGGTCGAAATTTGCACAGCATTTGATAAAAAATAAGTAATTTTTTTTCGTATCTGGCTCAAAACTTTTAAAAAAAATCACAAGTAGGATGTAATTACAACCCATTTTTGGAAGTTCATTTTTTTCTGGCCTTCTAAATAATTTCCAAATTTAGCCTTACTACGACTACTGCTTCTACTACCTACCTCTTCCGATCTTACTATAGTTTCCACTTTACTTTTCCTCTCTTTAACTTTACATAATAGCGGCCGTATTTCGCCGCAGGGAGAAAGTAAAAAAGTTGGCGGACGACACTTTCGGAAGGCCTATGGCCAAAATGAGTAAACAAGTTTTTTTAGTTGGGACAAAGATGGAGATGAAGGAAGGAATGGCCAGAAAAAGAATTTTATGGCCACAAGGTTGGGGGAGAGGGGAAAGGCGAGGCACTTCTGGAGCTCCGAATCAAATGACCGCGGAAGGAAAGAACGGGCGTTTAGTCAGTGAATTTCTAAATTAATTTACAATTAATTTAATGAACAGAAAATTAAAAAATATAAAAATATTATAAAATTGCTCTGAGATGGCCTGTTGATACGAAAATCACAGATAAAAGATTGTAAAATACGTCGTATGACAATTAAAGTGTTTGTAAGCAAGATCCAGTAAGTCAGAAAAGTAAATATTTTGGGCCTACATCACTAAAACAGAGGGCAAAAACAGAGTTTCCTCTAAAGAAATTTAGTGTCCAAAGAAAGAAAAAATAGTGTAAAATACGACAACTGTAAACTTTCAGTGATAAATCTAGCTTATTGGGGCTTCGGTGGACTTGGCAAAAATAATGATATATATATTTATTTCGCTAATAAGGGCAGAATGCTCAATTTTTTGCTGGCGCTGTTCAAAAATCATTGTGAGTTGCGCCTCAAAATTATTATTTTTTTTCATTTTTGACAATTTTTTCAACTGAAACTCGAACTGTGGAGTACAATGATTACAGAAAAAGTAATATCTTTGCACCGAAAATCTGGATTCTAACGTCGTGGTTTGCAAGCTCATCCGTAAATTTTCTGAAGTCATTTTGGCAACATACACTGTGAGAAAACAAAAGTTCAATTTGCACTGTGCAATTACTTTTTTGGGCTGTTGTTGGCACCCTGACTTTTCGTGCCCAATGCAAACCTCAAAAACTCAAAAATCAGCCCAGTTTCCGGACGAACTAGTATGCTATAAAAGGCTCGAGTTTTATGGATTTTGTGCAGAAGCTCGTGTCTTCAATTCGCGACATTCTCTGCAAATCGCTTCCTCATTACAAAACGGAGATAAGGGCTATTTAAAAATTGAGGATTAGATATTTCCAGACTCATTTCGTTATTCTCCTATTTGTTTACGCAAAATGTGTACGTAAACAGTCTGCGTAACCAAAAAAACAAGTCAAAATTTGCGTCGCAAGATAAAAATATTTTCAAATCATGACGTCATCTTTTGCATCAAATACCGCCTTTTTTCCCTTCCAAAAATTTCGCCTCCCCCGTATTTTATCGATTATAATCGGTCAAAAGAATCAAACCTCTGAGGCCAACCGAACGCCGAGTTATGAGAGCGGCCGAGAAGAGGCCCTCAGGGCTCAAGAAATAACAGATTTGTCGGTTTTTAAAACAAAAGAAACGAGGATCGAACGCCGGAGATCGGGAGGTGTTGTGATTGGGACTTGTCAAAACGATTAATCCCTTCCAAAACGACAATTTCCGTGCTCGCGATTTATGCCCTCAGGCGGGAATGGGCCGGCAATTTGAGTTGTGATTAGGGGCTCAAATTGCAATTACTTTTTCGGAGGTTAAAAGGGCAAAAACGTTGAAACAGTCGCGAAAATTTGCAAAAAAATTGAGAAAATCGGTCATGATGACAAGTTGACTTTGGTCGAAAATGAAAATTTATGATACCGAGGCCTTACATTACCATTTTCCGGCAAAAAACAAGAGGGAAAGATAAGGTTTGAGACACTTATATTAATCATGTTATCCATCACAACTTGTATTTAAAAAAAGTTGAAAAATTGGGTTGAAAGTGAGTAAGTAAAGTTCAGAATGGATGTTTACTGCTATATCTACATGTAAACATAATATTACAGCCTACATTACCGGTTAAAAATTTTAAAATCATCAATTTTGAGCCATTCCTATCAAAAAAGAATGGTTTGGAAATGGAGCTAGAAGTCAAGTCGATCTCAAGACGGAATGGAGAAAAGCGTTTCCAGATCTTGTCTCGGGCGAAATAAATATATTCGAAATGACTAATCGAGTATAATAGTGAGTGAAAGTGAGAGGCCCGAGGAGTGATCTCCAAGCCTCTTCCGGCGCCTTTTCTTTTATTGTTCCTGCGGAATTTCGGGGCTTTGCTCCAGCACCACTCATCGGCATTCTTTTTTTGATCTTCGATCCGGTTCTTAAAGGACATATGAACATGATTTTTTCGAGTCTGTAATACGGATGTTTTGAGGAAATTTTGGTGAAAAACTTGAGGATTTTTGATGATTTAATTTCAAATTGAGGCGTTAAATGTGTTTGACTATAATGGTCGCATAAGAGAATGAATTTCGAAGTTCATGCCCTAAGGGATTTTACCCAAAAAAAATCAGCATGAACCGCCAAAAACTCCAAATTTTGCGTTTAGAGAAGTAATAAAAGTAAATATACTAACGCCGTAAAAAAGCTTTTAGGATGTTAACTTCCAAAATTACTAGTCAAAAAGATTGCATTATCCAAAAAAACCAAAAAATAAATTTCTGCGTCTGACGGGAATCGAACCCGTGTCGATTGCTTGGAAGGCAACCATGCTGACCATTACACCACAGACGCACGCATTGTTTCTTCTCGCTTTCGAAAGGGAATTTGGAAATTTTGAAAGTGTGCAAGTGCAGTCAGATTGAAGGAAGCAAAAGGCGATAAAAAAATGAAAATTTGTCGCCGGTGATACGACTAATTAAAAGTGGTCTCAGTGGCCGAAAATTAAGAATAAAAAGTGAAAATCTGCCATCGCAACATAGTTATTCAAGTTTTGTTTATTCGAAGAATGTACAGCTCTATAAATACACAACATATCATATACACATACATAAAAAAATTACACATAAAAACGCAGTCCAGAAGACTTGTGCTTACGCATTTGTGCAAATCGCGCGGAGAAACCCTTCGTTGTGGCTAATACAAACCCCTCCATTCCATCCATGGGCTTGACAACAACTTTTAAGATTCTCTGCGCTAGCACAGGTTCTAGCGCAAGACAACACTTCCTTCATAGTTAGTAGTTTGTCGTATTTCTCGGTCGGCAGGGGCACTTTAGCGTTTGGGTCTATCAGAGGCTCCATCTCCGCCTGTCCAGCATAGCGGCCTCTTGGCTCTGAACTTCCAAGCAGCTCTCCCTTAGCTGGAGAACTGTTGTTAGTTCCTGGATTAACCGCTGATTTGCTCTTGGATCCTTCGATGTTCTCAGCTTCGCAAACGCTTGGATAGAAGCGACATGTTAGACCGACGCCCAACAAAACCGATATAATAAATAAAAACAAGGCAATTACAATCAGTAGTTTTCTGTTGTACAGATACAAAAACCTTGGATTCCTTACAGGCGCATGTCGAGAATAGCAAGGAGGAGGTGTCAGCGCAACTGGAACATGTCTTGCAGCATAAAGTAGAGGTAGTTCCGCGGGCTTGGCCGTAGAATTTTGCAGGCTATCCATATAAAAAATATTCTTACGGGCACTTCAAGAAACACAGGTTAGCGATGTGATAATCGGGAAATTGGAAAGACTCTGGGACGTGAGACAGAAGGGGCGGAAGTAAAGTAAATGTGAGTAATAACGTGTTCTGATAGTTGTAAGTTCGGAACGGCTGCAAAATGAATCAGCATTATAAAACTTTGTTTTTATTTTAGAGTTTTGCATGAAGTCATCAATTTTGATCTGACAAGGGTTGGGACTGTGCCAGGAATCAATTTCTGACACTTTTATTAACTCGACTTTTGCAGAGATAAGCATTTTTGACGAAGAAGGAGTGTGCAAATTACGGAACGTTCTTACTGCTATCACTGTTACAAAAAAATCACAAAGAAAGTAGTTCTATGGGGTATTGGAGTTACAGATCGAGACATATATCAAAAAATTCGCAGAATTATGCGGATTTAGAACATGTAAAAATTAGCTGCCTAATCTTGGTTTGTAAGGGTGAAAAACCCCTCTGAACTTTTCTCGCAACACTACGCAAATGGCACTTTTTTGCATTGGAACTACTATGTAATTAAGGTATAGTATTAATCAAATTTGGTATTTTAATGCTTGTCAAGATGCCAGGGTTTACTTTAGCTCCAAACAAAGCTTTTAGAATTAGTAAAAACGTGCTCAAAAAGGCATTTTCCTGGTGTTGTACGAAAACTTCTGAGGATTTTTTTCCCCTTACAAACTAAAATTAGGCAGCTAATTTTTACATTTTCTGAATCAGCATAATTCTGCGATTTTTTTGATATATGTTTTGACCTGTAACGCCATATCGGTAGAAGTACTTTCCTTGTCAACAAAAACGACGGTTCAATTGATTTATTATAACAACATTTATTGAGTTATGTATAATCCTTGTCTCTTTTATAATCGTCAGACTTATATGTATATGTTGATCAAAGACCACAATTCCTGCCAGACAGCGTGCCTTAGCCGCAGTTCGGCAGCGGGGTGTATATATATACCTGCTTCATCATTCCAAACATCCTCACTATGAAGAATCACATTGCACTATTGTGACATATTCATACTAGTATAATATGTAGTAATAAAAGTATGATCCTTTCCGTTGCTACTCAAGTATTAGACTCTTGACGAACACAAATGCCAACACAAGTATCATAGCCGCCAGTCCAACCCGAAGTCTTGTATCGTACAGAAAAAGGAATCTGCGTTTCTTCTTCTGTGCACGATCTGTTGATGGAATCCTCGGAGAGGTGTGTGTTGTTGCTTCCAAGTCAATTTCTTGCGAATACGGAAGTGGCGGAGAGTTGGGAAGAGTGTAAATTGCATATGGACTTAAGCCAGGAGGAGCGTGCGATGAAGGTACAGTAAACGGAGGCTGCTGCTTCTTCATAGACATATTTTGTACAGCCAAAAATAAAAGATTATTTGCAAACCTCTTCAAAATCCTTAAACAGAATAGTTACAAGTTAAATAACAAGTAATGCATGTAACGACAAGGTTTTATAGGCGGAAGGAGTGTAAATGTGACCCCAATTTTCAGGCAATTAGTGAAACGTTTTGGCGTCGTTGGAAATTAAGCGAACGAAGAAAACAGTTCGCTTAGGTCGGAAGAAAACAGCAAGTTAAAAAACTTGTGATGTGAGCTGAAGGAAAAGTTAAATTTTCCGCTTGCGTCTTCACTTTGCTAAATTTTCAGTCGGTTCCGCGAATAGTCATCAATTAATCTTTCCGCTCTTCCTTAGATTTTTAAAACAACCGTTAAAACAGTCGGACTTCCAGATGTATCTTCGATGCAGTAAAGTTCATGGCTTTGCTTGATTGGATCACAGCAGTACACTTGGGCGAACTGTGTATATAACTTTTGAACAATGCATCTGGGCAAGCAGAGCACCTTGGAAAATGGGTATGGCGAAGGGACCAAGGCGAATTTTTTGACTGATTTTTTTAATTTGTAAAAAAATGAGTGTATACAGTATTTCAGGGTTTCTTTTCATTCTGTAACAAGCGTAATTAAAATAAAAAATATTACCACAATTTTGATCATTTTTTCCTCAAAAAAATCAGCCTGAAAAAACAATGACTTCGCCTGCTTCGTCGCAAAGAAGACATACCTCTTCTGATGCTAGAAGATGTGAAGTAAAACATGTAGTACATTTTTTATCTCCACTCCAAATATCTTGAATGCTGATCCAAGTGCAGTAAGAAATAAAACAATTATTGTTTATTGAAGACAATATGTTATACGCAGATGTTATACGCAGATACAGCCGAATTTTCAATACAGAATAATTAGTTAACCAGATTAAGTACAAATGGCATGATGATATTGATCGCAATCCCCCTCCTTCCACCCATGAGCAACACAGCAGGCTTGAACATCGCCTCGATTTGTGCAGGTTTCAGTGCAAGCCCAACAAACCTTGTTTCCAGAAAGGCCCTGCATTATTCCGCCCTCGCAATCTTTGTCCCCCGGTGGCCTTGACTGGGTCAGGGGTGAAGAGGCAACAAGGCCGATGAATAGTAGGAAAATGACAACAAATTTCATTGAAAATGGTGCTTGTTTTCATTCAGCTTTAGCGGCCTTTATATTCCAAACATTTTGCTATAAAATCCCTAAACCGGAACCAAAACCGGAACAAAATCATTTTGACATTGAATTTCAACGAAATTTAAGAGCTTTGCTTTCCCTAGCCCATCATAAAAACGACATGATTAGTCATTGTCCTATCAATTCCACGCGCTATCATATCGCTTTGAGTATTTACTCCACTCTGCGGCTATTCGTCTCATTTCCTTATCAAATTTGCTTTTTAAAGGTCAACAAATGACGTTAAAAACTTGCGATATTGGCCGTCAACGAAAGCCTCTTGACTCTTTCGATAAACAAGGTCCGGCTTTGCATCCGGGTTCAAGATTTTTAAGTCAGAAAATATGAATATAAAAATCGAATACTTTTTGATTTTCCTTGAATCAGTCGCTGTTAATTTGTAATTATGAGAGTGTTCCTTGTTTTTCTCCTTATTGTCGCTGTATCCCTTGGAAAAAATGTAATCCCGTGCGATGAGACTTGTTGGAATGGAGGTGATGTTGCCACTTGCTGTAGGGCACATGGATTTGAGGATGGGTTGTGTACGGATGGCAAATGTGTTCCAGAAAACCGCGTTGCACAATGTTTCAATTATAATGCTACCTTAGTTGATGAATAAAAATGTGTACAATCGCTCTCTGTGAAGCCGCTTCTCGTCTTTTTTTATGGCTCACTCAAACTATTAGGTCGTCCAGAAAGTTCGTTCGTTTTTTCATTGCTTTGTTTTACAAGGATTGTTGTTCTTTGGCAAATGGTATATATTTATTTGATACAGCTTTTTCTCCTCTACAAGACTGGCTGTATCAAATAAATATATACCATTTGCCAAACAACAAACAATCCTCGTAAAAAAAAGCAATGAAAAAAACGCACGAACTTTCTGGACGATCTAATAAATAAAAATAAATATATGCATCGCTAAAAATGTTTACAGTAATAAACCCCCGAACTAGACACTCGACAAGTCTTCGCCAGACCTCAGCAAACTCCCCAGTAGATTATCACGGTTGGCATTTTGATAATGATACCCAACTGTTGTGTGTTTATCGCTTCATGCTGCTATTCATTTCATTTCTTTTCTTTATGACTAAAAGCAAATTTCTATTTTGAGCTCGTTCAATGATCTATTCATGATATGCATTTATTTATTATGCTATCTCTATTTAAAACTTCATGTTAAAAAGCGTAATGAGATAAAAGTCACAATTTAAACAAGTTTCATTGCACATCCCATAGTGAGAAGAAAAGGGAACACACTGGCTTGGTAGTTCCGTATCTTTCAGCGCCATTTTCATCGCCGAACGGGTTTCCTTGGCATTACCGGTGTGCGCGGCCGTCCTTTTCTTCCTGGTTATGGCCAATCTCCTCAAAACCTCATTCACGGACCCCGGAATCATTCCCCGGGCCACCAACAAAGAAGTTATCGAGCAAGAACGTCTCTTCAAAATCGGTAAGGTTTTTGGAATTAAAAAAATTTTTTTTTTTTGTAAAATCTTTGTAAAAATAGTTTGACAAGGAAAGTACTTTTATGGGGGCTCCTACTTTTTTAAGGGACATATCTCAAAAAATCAGAAAAAATGCGCTGATCAAGGATATATAAATCTTAGCTGCCCATTTTAGGTTTTTAGGGGTGAAAATGCCCAAAAACTGGCTTAATTTCCCTACAAAAGGCGCAGGCATTCGAAGCGATAAAAAGCGCAGTCGGTCTCTTCCTTCGGAAGAGAGCGGTGTGGCCGAGTGGTTAGTGTCGTAATCTGGGAATCAAGAGGGTGACGCCGCACAGGTTCGATTTCCCTTTTGGGCTGAATCAACTTTTTTTGAAGTTGAAGGTCGGAAAAATAAATTTTTGGGCCAAGACTGTCTTATTACGTCTTAGAAACTCAATAAACATCATTTTAAGCCAAAATAAAAATTGTAAACCTGTGAAAAATTAAGCGAAAAGGGGTTCATATAGGACTTTAAGTAAACTTCCGATTGAGTTTTCACCCCTAAAAACCTAAAATGGGCAGCTAAGATCTATATATCCTTGATCAGCACATTTTTTCTGATTTTTTGAGATATGTCCCGTCAAAAAGTAGGAGCCCCCATAAAAGTACTTTCCTTGTCAGATCGGAGCCAACGGCCACCATCCTCAATCGCATCTCTGCGCCAGCTGCGGTCATTTTGGAGCTGATCTCCTTGCCGGCATCGTGTATCTTCGATTCCATCTCTAAACCGGCGGTTTTTAAGATTTCTCCCATCTCTGAATCTTTCAGTCTTAATTTCACCTCCTTGGCGGCCATGTCCATCCTAATTACTATTTCTGTGCCGATCATATTCATTATTGATAACACTTCTGTACCAGTAGCATTCATCCCGGCAGCCATCTCGTTGCCATAATAATTCATAATTTCTTCCATCCCGGATTCAGTCGACTTGATGCTTGAAATCATTTTGGATTCCGCAGCCTTCATCTTAGATATCATCTCGTCGCTGGCGGCGTTCATCTCTGAAATCACGTCCGATCCGGCCGAGTTCAGAGCCGATCTCATCTCTCCGACCTCGGCTATTGCTCTTACCACTGAGCCGGCTCTTTTCGTCTTCGATGTCATCATAACGAAGGCAATGTTCATCCTTCTTGACATACTTCTATGTGCGGTGTCCATCGTTGAGGCAATTTGAGCGGATGCTGCGTTCATATCAGCTTTCATTGCTTCGCCAGCGGCGTTCATAGGGACTGTTGTGTTCTCAGACATTGTCTGGCTTTGTGAGGCAGTTGTGTAAGATCCCAGAGAACTCCTCAACGCTTGAACGACCAATAAAATTGCAATAATAAGAAGCAGAAAGGAAATCAGGATCAGAAACTTTCTATTGTATAAAAATAGAAATCTGGGGTTCGTCCGCCGCGAATAGGGAGGCGGCGGAGGAAAGTCTGGAGAGGTAGACGGTCTCAAATCCAGGCCTTTGTCTTGTACGTACGACGGTGGCGCTGGCAACCTTGGATGCGTTGAAGGAGTTAAGGCTGGTGGGATGTGTGGCGAAGGTAGAGTAAACGGTGATCTTGCCACTTTCATTGTAATTTAGATATACTCAAACAAAAGTGTTAGAATAAAAGAAACCCGCGGTTAATGATACGTTAAACTGTCACACAAAAGAAGGAGCGTAAAGCGCATGAGTGACCTTTCTCTGTTTTTTACCAAAGAGGTATTGTGCGTTTTGACGTCAGGCAATTCATGGAACTGTTTTCTTTTGTACTGATAGAAAAGAGTAATTTCAGAGTTGATTCGAAAGTTTAAGGTTTCTCTTTCAGATGAAGATCCTCTGCCTCACGTTTCTAAAGATCTGTTTATTGGCAAATTAAATCGTCATTAACATCAACACATCCTGGACATCTGGGTTACAATATATAAATACATACAGATTATCGTGTCATGTTTTTCATTGCTTCAATCATTCGTCTTCTTATTTCCTCGCCAGAGGCGTTCAACATTGCTCTTATTTCTTCTCCGGCGTTGTTCATCCTCAATCTCATGTCCTCGGCGGCTGTAGCAGCAGCCATGGTCATCCGCAGCCTCACCTGTGCGGCGGCCGTGTTCATCCGCGATCTGATCTCTGCGCCAATTGCACTCAATTTGGACTGCACTTCTTCGCGGACCTTGGCCATATCAGATCCCATCTTGTCGCCAACGGCCGTCATTCGCATCTCTTCGAGCGCTGCGTCCATCCTCGATCGCAGCTCATCGCCGGCGGCATTCATCGTTGAAATCATCTCATTGCCGGCGCTTTTCATCCGCGAAATAATCTCTTCGCCGGCCGCTTTTGTATTCGCCATTGAACTGATGACGTTCATCTTCACGGCCATTTCCGTGCTAGCAGCATGCATCCTGTATCCCATCTCCGATGCAGCCGCGTTGATCATTGACTCGGCTTCAGAGACTGCGGCGTGAATCCTGGAATTCTTAATCGGATCGGCGGTTGTCGTCGTCGTTGTGTCTGGTAGAGTGACCGTAGTTGTAGATGCTATCTTTGTACCAGCAGCTATAGTCGTCGATTCTGTGACTTGGGCAAGGGTGCTGCTCTCCGTTGATCCTATCCGTGAACCGGCAGTTGGCGTCGTGGATAATATTCCTGACCTCTCAGCGCCAGCGCTCTCCGCCCTTGAACTTGCTTCCTGCGCTACTGTAGCATGCCCATCATTACGTGGCTCAGGCGTTCTAAATTTTTGAGACGTTCCCAGCCAGGACGGGACTGTGGTCTTCTCAACAATTGGCTTGTCCTGCGGACCATCAAAACTCGGCGAATTTCTCAATGCTAGGCTTACAGCCAGTAGAATCGCAATAATAAATAGCAGGAGGGCAATTAAAATCAGAAACTTTCTGTTGTATAGAAACAAAAACCTCGGATTCCTGCCCCGCGAATACGGAGGCGGTGGAGGTAAATCGGAGCAGATAGAGAGTGTTGACCCCGAGCTCTTATCACTCGGAGGCGTTGAGGATGAGCTTGAGCGCGATGTAGGAACCAGACTTGGAGGAACGTGTGACGAAGGTTGAGTAAATGGCGATCTTGCGCCTTTCATTATCAGGAGATTATACCCCCAAGAACAGAAGTGGTATAATATCTAAAAGCACCACAAAAAGGTAGACTGCAGATAATATGCAGTAACGTTTGGAAGTGCAAAATCAAGAAAGAAATGTAAGATGCATGAGTAACCCTCTCAACGTTTTGACCAAAAGCTTTTTTCGACGTCAAACCATTGATGGAACTGTTTTCTTTCTCACAATTTGTGGTAAAAACAAAAAGAGTTTAAGGCTACACCTACGGACGTAAATAGATTTTTCATTTGCTGAGGATCTGTTTCTTTCGCGAATATTGGTTATTTAATGTTTTGTACATGTTACAGTTTATATATATCTGGAAAACAATTTTATTCAGAGTATATGTAATTGAAGAAATTCAATTTAAAGTTTTATTAATACACTGTTTTATTTACATAGAAAATTTCATGTTAGATAGACAAAAAACATAAAGAATCTGTAGACCGCTAGTCCTTCCAACAAATGGCTCGACTGCTTTCGTCGCAGATTCCATCGCTCATTCTATGCGCTCGACAACAAGTGGCTACAGCTCCACCGTTAGTGCAAGTTTCATCACATGGAATTATATTGCGTTCTCGGGGCGGAATAAACGGCTTCACTGTGGCCTTCGTGCGTTCAGGTGGTTGGTTCACTGGCTTGGTTGTTTCTTGAGCCTTTTCTAGAGGATTTGCATGTTGTGACATTGATTCTTGAGGTGGAATCGTAGCTTCTAGAGCCGAGAGATGAACCTGAGTTGGACGCGTGGCCTCTTTCTTCTGTTGCTGCGACCCTTCCAGCTTTTGAGGCTCCACTCTTAGAATCAACCGTCTCTTGTCGGCCTGGTTTTTCATTTCCTCCGTTGCCTGTGGCGCTTCCGCATTTGCACGATCGACTTCTTGAGGAGGAGTAGTCGCTTGAGAATTTCTCTGGTGTGATGTTTTCTCTTCTTTTTCTGATTCTGCCGGCCCCAGCTTCTGAGGCTCCATCCTTTGACTTAATGGCCTGTTAACGTCATCATTTTTCTCTGGAACTCTTAAATTGTGAGGAGTGTTAACGTCCTCATCAGACGGCTCCCCCAGCTTGGGCTGTTGTGGCCGTTCCTTGGAGACATCGGACTTGGATTTATCGAGCTCCTTAGATCCATTAATTCTAGAGAAACATATCAACGTCACACCGACGATTAGTGTGATTGCAATTAGGAATAACAGCAGCGAAATCAGGACCAAAAATTTCCTGTTGTATAGATACAGAAAGCGTGGGTTTTTTCCTGGTGAATAACGCGGCGGTGGGCTTAAAGCTGGCGGAATATGTGTTGAACGTGCAATAAACGGCACTTCCGCGGACTTTGACATCAGATTTTAGCAAATACGGGATCGAAAACAACGGTTAAAAAAGGTATCAGTTCTTCCCAACAGAGGGTAAGCAACAAGAACTTAATAAAAATCGGAAAGTAATACTTCTTGGAAGTGCAAAGTAACGCGAAGAGAGTGTAATAAACAGGATGAGTAAGCAGACCTGTCACAATTGATTTTGCGTTTTCCAAAAATGGTTTTAATTGCAGAGTTCGAAATGAATCAGTCAATTGATGGATGTTTACTTTTACTATATATTTTCAAGAGAATCTACACGTCACAGTTAGAGAACTCCTTTGTTAGCCATTGTCCTATCGCGCCAACAAATCGCTCGGACCTCTGTCGGTCTGTTCTTGTGTCGCTGTACAATACACTTCCCGTTTTTCCACCGGTATTTGCGACAACAAGCTGCGACATCTCCGCGGTTTGTGCAAGTCGCATCACAAGCCGCAACAGGCTTCAGATTTTTGGGTTTCTGTGTTTGTGGACGAGAGCTAATTTTGTCGTGGTTGCGCTGAAGAGACGGTGGAGTTGGCTTGAGTTTTTGAGCTGAAAAACTTATGCGTTCATTACTGTGGTTCTAAAATAAAGTAAGCGCTATGTGAACTATACTTTGAAGGCAAGAAGCTATTATATAATATTATTTTGCATTGTGCAATTCAAAAACCGCCGTGACGCAAGCTTTTTTCAACTGCGTTGCCGCGAATTTTAAATTCTAGGCCGCATCTCAACGTAGGCACCTCAAAAATTATCCTCTAACTCCTGAATCCTCCTTACGTCGAATTGTGGAAGTGTTATCTCCGGATTCTTTGTTAGTTCGGGAAAAGGACCAATTTTATACCGACAACGAGAAGGACTGTAAGAAAAAGAAACGAGACAATTAAAAACAGAAACTTCTTGTTCTTCAGAGACAGTGATCTTGAATTGTTCACCGGCGAGTAAGACGGCAGAGGTTTAAAAATCTGTTGAGACTGCAAAATAAACGACAGCTTTGCCGGCTTCAACATCAAATTGTTGGACAAAACTAACTATTATATGTAAGAAAGTTTTTGAATCAAAAAAGTAGTAGTCAGGTTACTGCGTGTAACCTGCAAAATAACGGGTGAGAAAAGGAAGGTGACGGCGTGAGTAATGCTGATGTTTTTCTGATTGCCGAATGGGTTCTTTCTGCAGGATTTGAAGCCAATCAATTCGTGGAAAGTGCTGATTTTTAATAGGGAGTTAACTCTCTGCAGGGCCGTTATTAATCGCTTGTAGAGATTGTTGAAAAGTCTCATTGCAATTACTTCTTGAATTCATTTATCATTATCAATCAATTCACATGTTACTACACTATTTTTATTCGTAGAAAACGACCGTTCAAAGTAAACTTTCAAGAAGTAAAATCGTCAACAAATACTGTAAATAATTAATTTAATTTATTTGCTGTCTGTTTGCCACCGCTTCTACCAGCACATGGCTCTGTCGCTATCATTGCAGACCCCATCTTTCAGCCTGTGCGATCTGCAACAAGTCGCAACATCGCCTCCATTCGTGCAGGTCTCGTCGCAAGGACGCACATTGCGTTGTGCCGGAGGCTTGAATTCCTCGGCCTGTCTGGCGGATCGATTTTTTCCCAGCGCTTTCTCCGAGTTGAATACGTCGGTGGTTAGAGCGACTACCAAAAGGACGACAATAATAATTTGAGTCGCCGAAATCAGCATCAGCATATTCTTGTTACAAGAGGCATCTATTTCCGCCTTTCTGATGCAATGGTACTCGGCGGAATCCATTACGAGGACAAAGGCGTTCTTAGACATGAATGGCTGAAATTAGAATCTTATTGTAAAATGTCAAAGCCTGTACTTGAATCGCTTTCTGCCAAATTTACAAATGTGTAGAGTACAAAAATCTCTAATATGTAGTAAGTTCTTGACCTGCCTTTATGTAAGTTGACAACTCAAGCTCAACAATCCCGTTGAATGAGTCAAGCGGTAACCAGCCCGCTTATAAACCTTTAGAAGTGGGCGTACACTGAAGACGAAGGCTTTTGCAAAAGCCCTCGGCTTTTGCAATTCATGTTGGAAAAGAGGTTGGGGCGATTTTTTGTTTTCATCCGATGCACAGATGGCAAAAATTTCGTACTTTCTTTCTCCGGCGGAGGCTTTATCAAAGGATCAAAGCAGTCTTAGGAGTCCGGGAAAAATCTCAGCTACAAGAACCCATCAGAGCAACATTATCTTTCAAAGATTTTTGATTTTTTTGGTCCGGCGGACAAATCGGCGGAGTTTTGTTTGGATCCAGGTCCGTCACTGTGACTAGCGGCCATAAATTTGCTCATTTTCTGTTTCCAGATATCCGCCCAAAACCCCCGACTGTCCCGAGAACAGCCGATTCCAAGAGTACGCGACGATCTGCGCCTTGTCAGGATATCATTGAGGGGCATAATAAAGATGACTGTATTCCAAGATACATGCCGGACTGCACGCCAAATTATTGCCGTCAAAAAATGGTTTTGCGAGCTGCGCCCATCCTTACAAATATTTCGGCACCCATTGTATACGATGCTTATTAAAACCCACTCATTTCCAAAAAGCGTAAAATTAACAACAAACTAAAAGCAGAAGAACAACTGATGTGTTAAGATACAACATTAATATCTTCTTCATCGTCGGTTGGAATCAATTCAAAGGTGAATAGGCTTTTCAGGTTTTCCTTTGTAATTTCTTGGATTTTTTTCCCTGAGGCTCTGGCGGTGGCTGCCAGTTCTTCTCGCCGTCGGTGCCTGTAGTTAAAAGTTCTGTTGCTGACGTCTCCGAGCACATTCTGAAACCATAAAGCGAACTAAAATTGAATTTTTCCAAAAAAATCCCCGCTGGGCACAAAATTAAATCGAAATTTTTCTCAAAATTTAATGTTCTGATTTCGAAAATTTTAACGGATTATGAAAGCCCATACTTCAAAGTATAATATATCCTAAAATGAAGAAGATCTAAGGCAAAAAAACTACCAATTCCAACTAAACATCAAACTTTTCGTCATTCTGAGATACTGTAATATCCGAAATTTCTTCGTTATCTTTCTGGCTAAGCCTGTGGTCTTGTGTTTGGGATTGCAATAATCTACTCGCAGTTGTGTTGCTGATGTATCCAACCACGTTCTAAAACTATAACATGAATAAAAAGCAATTTTTCCAGTAAAAAATCCCTGCCGGGCAAAAAAATAAATTAGAAGTTTCTCAAAATTTAATGTTCCGATTTAAAAAATTTTGACGGATTATGAAAGCCTACTCTTTAAAGTATAATATATCTTAAAATCAAGAGGATCTAAGGCAAAAAACCTACCAATTCTGACGAATATCACGATTTTGATCACCTTGGGGTAGTGTAATATCGTGATTTTTGAGTTTTTTTTATCTCGTGCATGAGCTGACTCTATTCCTGTTGTCTTCGTTTCTTGTCCTCTCTGGAATACAGCGATGTCGAAGTTGCAGCGGAGGGTGATTGTGTAAAACCAGTCGATTTCATCTAAATTCAAAAGTCATAAATTTCAGTTTTTGAGAATGAACTCAACGTAAGATGATGCAATGGCTAAAAATGAGGTACCTATTGAAAGCTGAAGCAATATCCTATAATCCTATAAGGAGAAAACCTGAGCTTTCGTTCCATAAGAAAAGTTACAGATCATCCAAATTGACTTACTTTTGTCCAAGGTTTGAAACAAAGCCCCAAATTATGCCAAAGCAAACATTTATCTGTCTCGTTTGTGTAATTTCTAATTTGTCTGCTTTATTTCTGCATACTTTGTTTATTTATGCATTTACAGAAGCTTGTTCTGCGGTTTTATTACGGTATTTCTGCAGAGGGGAACACTTGATGAAAATGACCGGGGGAAGACTTGACTCGAACCATTTTTTTGACGTTTTGCAATAGAAAGTAATTTGGCGTGCGGACTGTGTTTGTTTCGAAGGATTCAGCTGGTTTCATGGAGTTTGCGTGCCAACCGAGGAGTGTGAAAGTAATGGTGAGTTAAAACGATTTACAAGGGAAGTACACGTCAAAAAAATTCTTTCAGAAAATTGAAAAAACAAGGAATCTCGGATCATTGATTTTTTGCGGAGTGCCACAGAATTATCAAGATAGAAAAATTATTTTTCTCTTCGAAAAAACATTTTTCTCGAAAAAAAACTTTTTCTCTGGAAAAGTTTTCTTTTGTGACTCGATAATTCAGCGACATTTCGTCAAAAATCAATGATCCGAGATTCCTTGTTTTTTCACTTTTTCTTTGACGTGAAGTACCCCAAGCGCGACGCTCGGATTTTGATGAAACTTGGCGCAAATTTAGAATATTTTTTTCTAAAATATATGCGAGAATCCTAGCTCGCGCTTTGCAGAAACAACCGAGATTTTGAGATCGAAAGGCGGCGAAAATTTGAGACTTTTTGTCGAATTTCGGCACGAAAAGTTTCATGCCTATTATATTTCTCGCGCCTGCAAGGCGCGAACTAAAACTTTCAGGAATTGATACTTATAGTTAGTCTATTGCCGACGTGTGTGCAAAATTTGAAGAAAATCTGAACGTCGCACTTGGGGTACATGCCTTGTAAGTTTGTGGCAAGTTTCATCAAAATCTGAGCGTCAAATCTGAAAATCTAAAAAAAAATTCAGCCACGAGCTCTTCGACTGACCCGGCGGACAAGGAGGGCGACAAATGACGGAAATTTTATTACTTTAATAAGTTTTATTCCCAAATTTCAGATCTAAACGTATCATGCTAACATGCTAAAAGTTACATTTATGAGTGATTAATAAACATTTTATTGTTAGAAAAAATAACTAATAAAAGAATTTTTTTTTATTTCCTCTCATTTTTCCACGGGTCATCTGGATGGCCAATGAAGATTGAAAGTTTACGATCGTAAATAGTTTGCAGGCTCGGCCGGGATATTCAACAACCCTTGCAAACGAGAAACCATGGAGGAGGGACGGTCGGGTAACTTTTTGGCAAGGGTATCTTTATGTAGAAATTGAAACTTTTTGGAAAACTTTGGTCATACTATATTAACCTACAGTGGAGGACCTGATCCAGAGGCAAAAAACCGACCATTTTGCACCCGAGAGGCATAAAAAACGCAGCAAAATACCTCCCTCTCCAAGTGAAAAAACTCCGATTTCAAAAGCACGATCTTTTTGTGAGGGAAATGCTTTTCAAAACAGAGTTTTTTAGTTGGCGAGGCAGGCATTTTACTACACTTTTTGATGCTTCCCGGATGCAAAATGGTACGTTTTTTGCTACTGGCTTAATAATCCTCGCTCGCTATGGAACACTTTCATCATTACCGACGATCTAAGAGGGTTAAACATAGTAAAGAAGATTTTTTCGTTTCGGCAATCATCGATTAAACCTTCTAGGCCCTCATCGAAGAATTTTTTTTGTTCGACTTGAAGAATGTGAAATGGGACTTCACAGATCGGCATAATACTCTCAAATAGAGATACAGAGAAATTCGAGCCCCCAATGGACTTGGCCAAACCTTTTTTGTAGACCTCTTCCATGGCCTTCCAGGTGTTGTTGAGGCGGGTTGTCATCTCGTTATTCTCTTCCTGGAATCGGGAAGATAAATAATTTAGAAGAAAAATACAGTGCATCTCTGTACAGCAAACTTCTATACAACAAACGCTCGCCAAGTGTCAAGCCTTAGAAATTTTGGCTCGCACTTTGCACGCACAGCCGAGATATTCCAAGACCTTTGTGGTCTAGAGAATGCGCAAAAGGCGGAGAGCGGTCAGAGGAGAAAAAAACATTTTGGCCATCTCTTTTTCACACGAGATATTCAACGATCCGGTGCACATAGAGTAACATCATCCACTTACCATAAACTCTGGCGGCTGATGAATCAGATACAAGTCAACGTAGTCCGTTCGCAACGCCTTCAACTTCTCTCTTAACGTTTTCTCGACGTCTTCGGGAGGGTTGTAGTCGCTCCACACCTAAAATATGGGAAATATACAGCTACCAAACGGCGAGGTTTCGAAAATATTCGTCTGTCGGGGAAATAATGTGGATTCGCCTTTGAATTGCTCAAAATCACTTTCTAGCCGCCGCTGTAAACTTGGTGCGCTATTGCGACGAGGCAGGCATTTTTTGCGACATATCCACATTATTTTTCCGACAAACTTATAATACAATTTTCTTGTCCAAACTCACTCTCGTAGTGATAAACACATCTTTCCGGCTCAACTTTCCAGTTTCAAAATACGATTCCAAGGCTTTCCCGATATCTTCTTCATTTTTGGAAATGGACACTGTATCAATTAGGGTGTTGCCGGCGTCCAACGCAGCATGAATCGCGTTGATGCATTCTTCGGAACTCGACTAAAAATGATGTATTGATAATAATTTTGTCTTTTTTTCTCGGTGAGCTTGATATTTTTTGGGATTTTTGACCATCTTAATCAAGCATTGAGTCCATTTCCGGGGTTTTTTTGGGCAAACACCTTGACCTAGGTCACGACCTAGGTCGCGAGCTTGAAAAGTTCAGAAAAAATGAACACGATTCCCGAAATCAGCACCAAGTTTTTCCCGAAAAAAATCTAAAAATTTTCACCACGGGGCACGACAAACCGAAATAGAACAAAAACGTCTCCCGACCACTTTTGAGTTTCGTCCAAACGAAGTGTCACAACTGACAAAATAATTTCGAGAAAAATATTTTTCCATCGAAAAACCACACGAAAAATTCTGTTGTGACATTTCGTGTGAATTTGACCGATACTGGGTGTGCGAAGTGCCGAAACGAGGAGGGAGACTCCCTGGGTTGCCGTGCGGGATCGCTTTACCCCATTTAGGGTCGCAATCCATGGAATTCGTCGCCAACGCACGGTGCACTTCCTGCTTTCGCACAATGTTTTTGATATGGCTCATAAAAAATGTTGCGTAAGAGCAATTACCTGTAAGGTGCCAAGTCCTAAAACCGGCATTTCCACTCCATTTCTCAGTGTCAGAGTCTTCATTGTCACTTCAAGGTGATGTCACTTTAAGGTGAAAAAGGAAATACTGAAATTACTCCAAATACGACGCTCAGATTTTGATGAAACTTGGTACAAATTTACTATTAGGCTCAGTCTAACGCGTAGCGTTTTTCTGCCGCGGCCGGAGGCCGTCGGCAAAGCTTTGGCGAGCGTTTAGTTTGTTATCCCGTTGAACAGGTCAAGATCGCGCGCAAAGTAGCGAAACTGCCCGAGAGACGTGAGCAGCCTTTTCTCGGCATCGCCGCCGAGAAAAGGGATTGCGTCCCGGCAAAATAAAATTGCTTTTGATCCACACTATTTTCCCGACAGACTGACATTCAACGTTCGAATATCCCATCTCTCCCTGCAAACCGCGAGCTAAAATTTTCAGAGACATGGCCTTTGCTCAAAATGTGTGCAAAAAAATAAAATCTAAGAGTCGCACTTGGAATACGTCCCTCGAGAAAATCGCTGAAAATTATTGCACGAAAAACAAGGAGATTGAAGGAAAACAACTTTCACATACGTTTGGAAAACACAACAATTAATCCCAAGTGAAAAGCGCTTTTTTGATTGATTGTGAGGACGGAAAGGTCCGCTGCGGAAAGTTCCGCTAAAAAAAGGAAAGAGAAGGGCGGGGCACGTCAAGAAAAAATAAAACAAAAGCGCTCAAGCAATGAAAAATTCTTGGCATTCTGTTTGATCTCAAAGACAATTTTTTGCGATAAAGATAGCCTGATTACACGATGAAGATGGGGTAGAATGGGGTTATTGCATACATAAATTTGAAGCTGGGCTCCTGCTTAACCTGAACATATATATTTCATATAAAAAATCGGTCGTCTTCTATCTGTTTGAAGCCTAAACTAACAACGCCTAAAAAATGTTGCGATTTCGAGGATTTCTCTAAGATTTTCCCTCGCCCCTATTTGAAGTTTCGTGGAAACATAGTCTGGAACAAGGCGGATTTTTTGAGCCTAAAACGAAAAAAATCAAATGAGCCAGTTTCGAGATAGAAAATCTCTTCATTTTGCGCAATATTTCGCCTTTCCTCTGACCTCGTCCAAAAAAACTGTCATTGAGACGGATTTTTTGGACACTTCCGTAAGCGGAAACAGAATGCCAACTTTCGTGTTGATACATAACCCTTTGAGCGCAAAATCTTGACGTGCGGGGCACGTCAAGAAAAAATAAAAGAAAAACGGGCGCCCAATGAAAAAGCCTAGAATTTTTTTTGGCATTCTGCCCTGTGCAAATCCGTTTTTGTCCAAATGGTTTGCAATATTTTGACATAAAGATTAATAGTAAATCACAAGATATTGATACCAATAGAAAGCTCGAGAGCTGCTTAAGCTAATAGAACCAAAATATACCCATAATCGTAGTATTTTGACAGTTTTCCATGGCGAAGAATACAACGTCTAAATAAAAGTTTGTATCGACGATACCGAGTCAGAGAGCACTGGAAGGAGGTATAGGCTCCACGTCAAAAAAATCCTTAAACTGTTCTTCGAGTATCTACACCGGTCCCGTCCCGCTTGATGGGACAGTTTTTTTGATAGTTGGCCTTGAAATTTGCACTATTTTTAGCCTAGCTCGAACCATGTTCAGAAAATGCGTCACGATGACACCCATTTAGAATGTACCAGCGGTATAAAAAACAGTTGTATACGACTAGTAGTACTCCCTAGAGTTCCCATTAAAAAAATTAGGTTAAAAATTGTTGTTATGTGCAATTTGGATGACAGGTTTTATGAATTTTTTTTCGCTGTGAGAACCTTTGCAATGCCCGCAATTTCTTGACGTGCGGGGCACGTCAAGAAAAAATAAAAGAAAAACGGGCGTCCAATGAAAAAGCCTAGAATTTTTTTTGGCATTCTGCCCGGTGCAAATCCGTTTTAGTCCAAATGGTTTGCAATATTTAGACATAAAGATTAATAGTAAATCACAAGATATTGATATCAATAGAAAGCTCGAGAGCTGCTTAAGCTAATAGAACCAAAATATACCCGTAATCGTAGTATTTGACAGTTTTCCATGGCGAAGAATACAACGTCTAAATAAAAGTTTGTATCGACGATACCGACTCAGAGAGCACTGGAAGGAGGTATAGGCTCCACGTCAAAAAAATCCTTAAACTGTTCTTCGAGTATCTACACCGGTCCCGTCTCGCTTGATGGGACAGTTTTTTTGATATTCGGCCTTGAAATTTGCACTATTTTTAGCCTAGCTCGAACCGTGTTCAAAAAATGCGTCACGATGACACCCATTCAGAATGTGTCAGTGGTATAAAAGACAGTTGTATACGACTAGTAGTACTCCCTAGAGCTCCCATAAAAAAAATTAAGTTAAACATTGTTGTTATGTGCAATTTGGATGACAGATTTTATGAATTTTTTTTCGCTGTGAGAACCTTTGCAATGCCCGAAATTTCTTGACGTGCGGGGAGGGGGTTTGTTTTCGATGGCGCTAATTGCGAAAATCGTATCCATTTTTTCTGAACTTTACAATTTTATTATTATGAAGTAGTGTTTAATGTTTGGTTGTAAAGACCAAAAAAGCGTCAGAAGTTTTCTCACAATATCATACAAGTTTGACCACGTTTTTACCAATAAAAACATTTATTTTGAAGAATTGCAGATTAGGGCAAAAATTCAGAAGAAATGGATACGATTTTCAAAATCAGCACCATCGAAAACCCCTAAATCCACTATTCAACAAAAAAAAATTACTTCTTAACACTACTGTTTCAGCAAAATTGTAAAATTCACAAAAAATGGATACGATTTGGCCAAAATCTTTCATATCATAAATGCAAACAATTTCCTGCTTGAAGTTCTTGTTCTACGTCTTTGATTTGCTGATTCAGCGCTTGTAATTGACGATACATCTAAAATTCGGCAGAAAGTTTCAAATTTTCGCCAACTTTTGATCGAAAAATCTCGGTTGTTTCTGCAAAGCGCGAGCTAGGATTCTCACATATATTTTAGAAAAAAATATTCAAAATTTGTGCCAAGTTTATCTCAACGCCAGACTGTAGCTTGAGAAGCTCCAAAATTCCGTGCCCCTATTCTTAAAAAACATCGGAGTTGGACGATTGGGGAAAAAGACGATTGGGGAAACCGAAAAGTATTATTTTTATTCCATGCAAATGTCGAAGTTAGGATAATCGAGGGCGCTGATTTCGAAAATCATGTTCATTTTTTCTAGTTGTTATTTTTTTCTTAAGTAGTACTGTTAAGTAGTAATTCTTTGAACATTTTCCAAAAATACTGGATTTAGGGGTTTTCGAAGGTGCTGGTTTCGAAAATTATGTTAACTTTTCCTCTAGTACGAATTAGTATTACATGATACTATGTAGTACCAGCACCTTCGAAAACCCCTAAATCGAGTATTTATGAAAAAAAGCAAAAATTACTACTTTACGGTACTACTTCAGAAAAAAGTAAGAATCAAAAAAATGAATGTCATTTTCGAAATGAGCACCCTCGATTATCCTAATTTCGACATTTGCATGGAATAAAAATAATACTTTTCGGTTTCCCCAATCGTCTTTTTCCCCAATCGTCCCAGTTCCAAATTTTATAACGTATCAGTCTGTCGGGAAAATAACGTCTCGTCGAAAATCGTATTTCCGCCGAGAAAATGAATTGTGTCGCGACAAAATCAAATATGCACAGCGACATTGTGCTCATTATTTTCGCGACAGACTGTTATCATCACAACTGTGGACACGATATGAGCATAACTTGAATTACATTTATTGAAATAAGCCGTTATTCGGCTACAAAAGTATGACCATAAATTTGACAAGTCATCGCTTATGTTCATAAATTTTAATCGAATTTGAAACTCAAAAAGCCACAACAATTATTCAATTACTCGAAACGTGTGGGCGAGACATATTTAATTGCTTATAAACATCTTAAAACATATGCTCTGGAACTGGCAAATTAAAAACACACCTTGTTACTTGCCAATTGTATGTAATTGCTTCATTTTTTACTGTTCCATTACTCATGCCTTGAATGAGTGCTGATGAAATTTATCAGATTTATTGCTGGACAGCTATGGCAACTTCATTTGTTTTATGTTGCATCACTATTTACTTGTCTATGAGGATCTATAACTCCCGAAATAAAAGCGAGTACGCTTGGATTTTGGGGTTTATTACGTTTGTTGACCTCCTCTATGCGTTAGTCAAAGGATTTTTGATGAGTGTAAGTAATTCATTGAAAAAAAGCAAGAAGCTTGTAAAAAGTTATCGTACAAATGTTTGAGATGCCACTTGGAAATCTTGGCACCACTTATAACAATTCCTAGGTAATAATTTTTGCTTAGGTATAACAGTAATTTTTGTATGTAGGGGAAAATTTCCCGCAAATGAAATTTTTCCGGGACGAAAGTTGGTCATCTTTGACGCTTTATAAAAACCGCTATGATAAGCCTGACCACATGAAGCATATATCAATAGATAGTATTTTTAACGATCTTTCAGGTAATATTAACACAAGTATTAAAACTTTAATTGTACTAGAAAAAATGCCCAACTAAAAAAACGGCACGGTCATACTTCTAAGCTTTTAACGACGAATTAAAATACGTCGTATTGTCAAATAATCAAAAAATCTGAACTGTGCGCTACTTGAAACAAAAATCATAAAGCACAAGGAAGCTTAGAACGAAAGGGTACCATTTCTACTATAGTAGTGACCACACATCCATTACAGAACGCCCTGGCCACCTCTATTCACTACTACGTGCTGCTTGAAAACCCTCTCCTCCTAAACTCTCCCCCTCTTCTGACTAAATCTTTGGTGGCATTGGACTCATTTTCAACATGTCTGATGTCCTCAACTAACGCTTTACATTTCTGGTATCGTTCTGACATCCTTGCGCAAGTCGGAACGTGGTCCAAAAAGCGATTTCTAGTTACGTATTTAATCTCGTTGTCCTACTACCTCGGGCAATTCCCTCTGATGTGGTTTAGCACTGAAGATGCGACAAAGGAGAGCTTCTTGGATATCAAAAAAGCTTATGGAAGCGAGGTGGCACATGTTGTATACACTAATGTAAGTTAAATTGTTTTTCAAATGGAAGTTTGAGAAGGAAAAGCAGCTTATATAACTACTTATATTACCGTAGCTAAAACGTCAAATATCCCTCATCCATTTCATTGCAAATTTGGCTATTTCAGAGCACAAAGACAATCCTGCTCCTTCGAACCCTCCTTCACAAAGGCCCAATAGTTGTGTTCTACATAATGTTAGCCTATTTTGGTTTGAGAATAGTTCGAGTGATGGCGAAAAGCTCCGTTGTTAGTAGCACCGCAAAAGCTCAACGCCACGTGGTCCGAGTTATTGTTCTACAGGTGGGTCATCATTTTTTCATCATCAATCTATACTAAAATATTGATGATTTCTCAAAAAAAAACCTTTTAATTTTACTTTTTCGCCTTGGAAAAGCAAAATTGACGATACCTATAAATAAATATATCTTCTAAATATTGTTGCCAATTCCAATATTTATTTTTCCAAATTGCAGGCAATTTACCCCGCAATTCTCAACGTTTTGCCCATCTTTTTGGTCGCCTTTCTCAACTTGTTTGGAGTCACTTCCCCACTGGCCCCCTACTTTGCAGCAGCCTCATTCCAACTAATGCCAATCTTGAACACCCTCACCATCGTATTTTTGATCCCAAGTTATCGAAGAGCGGCGATTTCGACTATCCGCCCAATAGCAAGTACAACTACAAATACCGTGGAACTCATTAGTTCTACAGCGTATTCCAGATAAATAACTTGAACAAATAGGTTTTTACACTACCTCGAAATAAATATCATCATCAGTTTCCAAATTTTGATTCTCTAAAATACGATTTTTGAAAAAATTTTTTTTAATGGTCAAAGTGTAATAAAAATTATCTTCTGATGGTATAGGATAAATTTTACAACATGTATTTATTTTATTAGTTATTATTTTGTGTTAAATTTCCCTCCATTCCTCGAGGCTTTGATGAAAATTCGGAAATCCAATATTAAGTGAACGAAGTGTCAAAATCTGAAAAATAAATTATTTTTCCCGCAAAATTCATTCGGAAGTTTCCCATTTTTATCAGTCTGTCTTCTTATCAAACGATTAGCGACAGTTAGGCTGTTAAAAATTAAAAATGGTTGATTTTTCGTCGATCAAAGCCAAAATCTTGGAAGTAACCCAAGATTATCCGGACTTCCCGAAGAAAGGAATTATATTCCAGTAAGTTGTGGGTCGTTTAGATGGTAAAATTATTTTCAGCGACGTATTGCCCATTTTCAACCATCCCAAAATTGTTCAAGAGCTGTGCGAAAAGATCGCCGAGAATTATCGAGGGAAGGTGGATGCGGTCGCTGGACTGGAGGCGAGAGGTGCGTTTTAAGGGTAAAATACGTCCTCCTGGAATACTTCTTTGGTAACATGCCATTGTAGATCGATAATTTTCCAGATAATGGTATTTTACAGTATTTAGTTGGAAATTTTTTTTTGAATTTTCGAATTTCAAAAAGGCAACTGTAAATGCTGATGCCCTCTAAACTAAAAAAATAAAGCCCATATATATAATGTTACATCTATTTCCAGGCTTTTTGTTCGGTCCTCAAGTCGCGATTCTCCTCGGCGTTCCATTTGTTCCGATTCGAAAAAAGGGAAAATTACCGGGCGAATTGCTTCGGGCAACCTACAAAAAGGAGTATGGAGAGGTAAGTAGCCGTATTCTTTCATTTACAAGCCTTTTACATTTATATTTTTAAAGGTTTTATCAAAAAATCCGGGTTTTTCTGCCGTACCAATGGCCTAATGTAACATTGGGCAAAAAATCCCGATTTTTGCCTTAAATTTTGATTGTTTCAGGATGTAATCGAGATCCAGAAGAACGCTCTGCCTCCCCATTCCAAAGTTCTCCTCATCGATGATCTCTTGGCCACTGGTGGCACTCTGAAAGCGGCTTTTGATCTGCTGAAAAGCGCACAGTGCGACGCTTGTGAGGCCTTCGTTTTGATCGAATTGACCGGTCTGAAGGGTCGAGAAGTCCTGCAAGGCGCCAGAGTCCACTCACTCGTCACTTATGAGTTCTAATTATGCTAATTTTATTGGGGGCTGTGTTAAGTTAAATAGTAAAATACGACGTTGAAACTTTTTTAAATAGTAAAATACGGCGATGAAACTTTTTGCTTTTTCGATTTATTCAAGGAAATTCAAATTTTTTATCAAAATTTTTTTTTGTTACAAAAGTGATAATAAATCAATTCTATGTTGACGAAGTGTCAAAATTGATATTTCGCTTATTTTCAAATTTTTTCAATTGCAAAATGACACTAATATAACCAAGATTACATAAATTTCTTTATCAATTACTTTCATACAAATCTACACACCAAAATCAACAAATCAAATCAGAGAGCGGCCATTCTTGATATTACACCTGATACTTTGCAAAATTATGCTGTAGAACAGAATGCTGGCTGTGAATAATAAAGCTTACAATGCTCTGAAGACAACACGGTAGATAAAAGACTCATAGAAATTATAAATTCATATCTAAATTCGGGATTATGCTACTTTTTCTAATTACGCAAAAAAAATTCCGGTCGATGAAATTTTCGGATATCTTTACGGACACCTTCAATATGTATTTTCCGATCTCGGAATGGATATTCTTCACTTTTACCGAGAAAAATGAGTCATTATGACCGATTTTTCGTGGACCCGGGCTGGAGCAAAATACCATATGAAAAGAAGTGGATGGCAAGAGAAAATTGCAATAGAATGCGATAAATCATGAGGCATTTGACGTCTAGGTTGCATTACAAAAAACTTACAGTCATTGTGAGCAAAAATTTTTTTTTTAATATCCTCAAAAATTTCAAATTATCCGAAAAACAAAAATTTTTGTAAATTTCAGTATAACACAACTCTAAGCGTTATATACCATCAATGATCTAACCTTAGAAGACAAAAAACAAAGCAGTGAAAATTAAAAATTTGATACTTTTGATGCGTAAATCAAAGAAAACCAGTTTTAGTCGGGGGGAATACAAGATAAACTCGTCTAGTGGTGGTCATGGTCGTGGCTGTGGCCATGTGAGTGCCCATGGGAGTGATCATGGCCTTCTGTTATCAATCGGATCAGGCCAATCAAAGCGAATCCAATTATCATCACCAGGAGCTAAAACAATATAAAAATTAAAAGATTTTCAAGGTTCAAGAGTCCGATATATCTAAAACTTTACCTTCAAAAGATTTGGATGTTCATTATCTCTCTCGTGGATCAAGACCTCAAAGAACGTGACGTAAAGGAAGGTTCCCACAGTCAGTCCGTGGCAGATCAATATGATCGTATCTTGAAGTTGGGCGTTGATCGAGGCATGCCGAACCACCATTCCAATCGCACCTCCGATTGGAGTCATAAAGGCGATCATGATCATGGACAAGGTGACCCATTTGAGACTGTGAGCATGAGTTCTCGCCAATTGGAGACCAATCGAGAAGGCGACAATCAATTTGTGGACGGTCAGGGAGATGAAAATCGCCCAAATCTTGGCAGGGTCGGTCTGAAAATACATTTAAAATAGTAGAAATTACAAAATATTGTAAAAAGTGGGAATAAAAAAATGTTTCAAACTGGCCAAAAATCCGTCAAAAAATTGTCTAAAACAATATAAAATAAGTCATAAAATAGTCTAAGACGCCACAAAACTCTTCCGGTAATCTAATAATACATTTAGCACCTTAAGATTTTGAAGAAATTTCAAACTTTCTAAAAGAATTTAAAAAATTGTCTAAAACAATATAAAATAAGGTCATAAAACTTATTACGAAGTCTGAAACTTCGCCAAAATTCGTCCGATATCCTAAAATGCCTCTATTTATCCCTAGACATAAAGAATTTTCCAAAATTTGGCCAAAAAACTGCCTACACAACAAAACTTCATACCTGAACACCCAATGCCAATCCCTCAATTATAGCGTGGAAAGCGATGGCCAAGACAATCGTCACTGATCTCGTCGAATGACTGTGGGGATGAGGTCTGCTCTTGGTGATAATTGGCGGATATTCTTTCACCGAATCACAATTGGCTTCACATCTTTCGGGCTCGGCAATGATGGGAATTGTGGCGTCCGGACATGTGGCTACAGAGCACTGCCGAGGAGAGGAGACGGCCTGAGTGTTGGTGGCAGTGAGGGTGTTGGAGAAACCGGCCGGATGACGTTCGGATTCCACTTCGGCCGATGTGAGGAGACCTACTTGATCGCGATTTCTGATCATCCTAAAGATAAATTTCGATATTTTAGGTAACAAATCGAAATTTTAAAATTGAAATCTTTCTAGGGTAAATGTAATTTTGTGTCGTTTTATGATCCATCCGTAAAATCAAGGTCAAAAACAAACCTAAAAATCAAAAAAACAATAATACTAATTTACCCACCTGACACTCTCCTCCTCCTTCGAACTTCCATGACTATGCCCTGCATTCGGCAGGATAATCAAGACCAATTCTTCGACCAAAAAGAGGACGAAAAATCCCGAACACGCCAACAGTTCGGCCATTGGGAAGTCCGGTTTGAATCCATACGTCTCCTTCATCATCTCCACATGAGCAAAAAGCTCGGGGAAAAGATGGAGAAAACATGTGGCCAAGAAGACTCCGCCTGAGAAACATGTAAGAAGACAAAGGAAGAGTGATACCCGATCCTTCTTCTTGGACGACGGCAGACTGTGGGCTCGTTTGCGGAGGGCACGGAGGATCTGAAGATTTCATATTGTACTTGATAATAATTGTTGAAAAATTCTGCTGTTTCCATGCTTAAATTTCTTTAATCTAACCATACTTTCCACAAGAAAAAACAGCTATTTTTTCGAAAAACCCTTTAGTTCAAAAGTGTGCAAGACCCAAACTAGAACGTCAAAAACACTGAAACATAAAGAAACTTGTCACCAAGGCTTTAGTTTAGCTCTCTCACGCAAAAACATAACAAAAGAACCAAAAACTTTCAAAATTTATCTTCTCCATCACCTCGAACCCACCCAATCCTCGAGTTTATTACCTAAAAGTCCAGAACAAGGTCAAAGGCAAAAAATCACTCACCCAGATCGGCGTCAGGCCCGCCACGGCCGTCATAATCACCATGGCCACCAGGAGCCCGGCCTTGAGCACCGTCCCCGACATGCTCTAAAAATAAAGAATCGGATAAATTCGGCTCAGATAACGCCAAAAACGGACGCCCGCAGGGGCCGCGCTAATTTTAGCCTCGAGAAATCTAATCCCCTGATGCATTTCCCGGCTTCACGCATCAAGAAAAATTGTTTTTCAACCAAAATTCCGCCGAAAAAAATTTCTTTCTTGGCATTCCGTTTTAGCCGGCTTGTTTTCGTGGTGGGGCCCAAAAACAAATGACATAACCTGTCAATTTTGATGGGATCTCCTAAAGTGCGGAAAAATAAGAGTCTGAAAGGCTCTATTTATATGTGGAACAGCAGTTCCTTATGGGTTTTATTGTTATACAGCAAAAAAATTAAAAAATTTCTTAAAAATTCGGTTTTTTCGGAAAAAATTGAAGAACAAAAACGGACAGATTAATTAATTAGTTCCTATATATCCTGAAAATAATAGCTAATAATCGAAAACAAACCAAAAATCGGGCAAATTTTGTATTACACCATCTAAAACAAGATTGTTGACCTCTAAGACCCCATAAACCCGAGTTCGTTGCTGCAAACACCTTCAGCTTTTCCTGCAATAATAAACCGTAGTCATCGAGTCCACTCATTTTATAAGCATGAAGAAATTAATTAGGCCATTAATTTCCCAATCAAACGAACGTATGTTTATTCGAATAAAACAAGGGACTGGAAGAACTGTAACCTTTGCTCAAATGACTCAAGATGACTTGCTCTTGTATTGTTTGTAATATTGAGCCGTAATTGCAAACAGCTTCGCGGGGACAGCGGTATTTGATCACTTGTCAGACAATGTGTAATATAATTTTTGTTATTTTTGGGGGTTTTTTTGGCTGTCCCACGCGTTTTTAAGTTTACGTTTTTGGAATTCGAAGCTCCTGTCATTAGTTACAAAACCAACCACGTAAAAACAAAAAATGTTATATCAGAGATTATGAGGTGAATTAATGGGTATTGTTGATTAAATAACTTGATTTCTGAGGTCATAAAGTAACTGTGATATTAAAATGTCTAATTCAGCCTTATGCTTTGATTTTCGACCATATTTCACTCATTAATTTATACAGTGGGGGACCTGATCCAGTGGCAAAAAATGTGCCATTTTACATCCAGGAAGTATCACAAAATGTGGCAAAATACCTCCCTCTCCAAGTGAAAAAACTACGATTCCAAAAGCGCGACCGCTTTTTTGTGAAGGAAAGGGCGCCCTTCAAAACGAAGTTTTTTCACTTGGAGCGGCAAGCATTTTGCCACATTTTTGATACTTCCCGAATGCAAAACGGTACGTTTTTTGCCACTGGATCAGCTCCCTCACTGTATGTTTCATGTTTTCCGAGTAGTTTATTTTTCGCACGGTGCGATGATTTTCGAAAGAGGTCACTGTGCGGGTAAATCCAAATTTGGGAACTTTTTTTTGTAAAATTCGGAAAACGATGCCCTGATCTTTGATCAGAACCAAGATCAAAAAAATCGAAGTCCAAAACTCTCGCACCGTGCAATTTTTGCAAAAAACGCACCGTGCAGTCAAAAAAAAAATTTTTTTCCATAAGTCAAATAGTTCAAAACTCTAACTGTCCCACTTTTAAATTCTGTTTCGATAATTATTTATATAATATAAAAAAATAAAATCTGATAAAAAAAGAAACAAAAACAATATGGCGAAGAAATATCTGATAGAAAAATGTAAAGGCTGTGAAATTCGTTGGGAATGAATGACTGTACATTTGATATCAACAATAAATTATTAACCAATAACGCTGATTTTGGCAGGACTACGTTCGGACGGGGCTAAAATGAAAGTCATCATCAAATACTGCATAAAACAATATCCAAACCCAAATTTTTTCGTAAAATTCTTACCCAGTCTTTGTCGTTTTCTTATCTCCAATGATTTTTACTTCCGCCTCATTTCCATTTTCAGTAGTTTCATCGTCATTTTCGATGGCATAATTGTCTCGATATCTGACATCATGATGTTCATCCTCTGATTCGATGGAGATTTGATGTAATTCTGGAGGCGCGTCTTTGGCCTTATGGACTTGATCCGATGAATACGAGTTTATCGAGGATTCCGAGTGATGGGATGAGGAGGTTGTCGAGATTACAGAGGTCGAAGAGTGCCGTCTCGGGATGACTGTGAGTTTGGGAACAGACGAAGAAGTGCCGAGTTTGTGGGTGGGCTGACTCAGGATGGTCTGGAGATGACGGTGGGAGCGGAGGGCTTCCGGTTGGACCTATAAAATACGACAATATAATACTTGAAAATTTTTAAAATATTGCCAATTTCGCCCAGACTTTTCGAAATACCCAAATTCGTCTAGGACATTTAAAAAAAAAAAAAAAAGAAAATCAACCCACATTACTTCCATAAAAAATAATTTTTCTTCCCAAAACAACCTCAAAATTTTTTAAAACCTTTAAAAATTTTAAAATTCTCACCTCCACCACCGTAACCGCCTCAATTTTTCCCCTTCGATCGATCAAACTCGGAGGTTCCGGAGCGCACAAAGTGGCCAAACAATTTGTAAATAAATTTCCCGTAGAATACAATGATCCGCAATACGATCCCAGCAGGTCGCTGAAGGTGTCTTTCACCTCCTCATTTGTTGTTTGATTCGATGCCAACAAATATGTGTGGAAACAGGAGAGTCCCAGGACCGACCACACCGAGATTATTGCCACTAGACTAACAAAAACCGAGCCCGGCGTGGCGTTGATGGCTTCCACAAAGTTTCGGTGCTCCATTGACACTGGAAATGGGATTTTTAGACATCTTTGGGCCTAAACTTTCAGAAAAAACGACAAAAAACTTACGCATAATAAGATGGGTGATGGAACAAGCGCCAACCAGAAAGTCCAAAATTGTCAATAGCACCACAAATAAATAAAAATTCCGATAATTTCGGAGGCCAACGCAATTTCCGACCCATGGACCTGAAAAAAATCAAAAATTAGATCAAAGATAAGAGAAAAATGACGTCACTCCCGCCAAAATAATAATGAATATTTAAAAAAAAATTCAAAAATCCCAAAATTCCTTACAATGATGGTCGAACCTGAGCACACAATTGTCGCAGACCGAGCAATGGGAAGCTCTGGGCGGGCGAAATATTCGACATGTAAAGCAGTATTTCTGTACTACGCACTCGTTGAAAATCTCAATCATTCGGGTTCGAGGGGTCGTTGCATTGGGGTTACCCGTCTCTGAAATACCAATTAATTCTTTTATACTTCAAATTTCAAACTATTTTTACAAAGATTTTACAAAAAAAAAATTTTTTTAATTCCAAAAACCTTACCGATTTTGAAGAGACGTTCTTGTTCGATAACTTCTTTGTTGGTGGCCCGGGGAATGATTCCGGGATCCGTGAATGAGGTTTTGAGGAGATTGGCCATAACCAGGAAGAAAAGAACGGCCGCGCACACCGGTAATGCCAAGGATACCCGTTCGGCGATGAAAATGGCGCTGAAATTCAAAAAAATAAATAAAAAAACAATAACGTTTCAACCCCTATCGTATTTTACGAAAAAAACTCCAGAAAAATATTCAAAAAATCCAAAAAAATCAAAAAAAAGTTTCAATCTAAAAAAAATTCTAAAAAATTTGTGCAGATTTCCAAAAAAAACCACAAGAATTTTAAATTGACAAGTAAGGAAAACAAAAAAAAATTTTCATCTTCAAAAAAATAAAGCCACTATCTTATCCCGTATTTTACCCCAAAACTTTCCAAAATCCACAAAATTTTTTCACTTACTCAAAAATAAAAAATGAGGTCATAGTGGCGAAGATCATGCCGATAGTCACATAAAACGCGCTGTTCTGCTCGGACATGAGAATGCGGCCGTTGAAACAGAACTTGTTTTTGCCCGGATGCGCCTTGAACTTTTGTTTCCCGACCATTTCCGGATGCACCGATGGGGCGTAGAATCCGTTGCCATTTTCGATGGACACCTGGCCGGATAAGGTCCTTCGAACGGTGGGGATTGTGGGGCGATGATGGTCTTGAGTGGGGGCGATCACGGCCGGCGAATGCGCCGAACTGGAGGTGGGCTGGGCTGAGGGCGAGCGGAGCTTGTCCGAGTCCAGCTGCAAAGTTATAGAGTTGGATAAAAAAGGAAATTGAACTTGATTTTTCGACAATGAGTGAAAAATACCAAAACTTTTTAAAAAATTCCAAAAAAAATAAATTTTCTCAAAAACATTCTTCAAAAATTCTGCAAAAATACTTTTAAAATACCGTTTTTCCTCCGGAATTAAACCCCCAAAATTACAGTCGCCCCTACCGTTTTCATGACAACGCCAGTTTGAAGCGAGGTTTTGGCGCGAAACCGGTTCGAATTGGTCCGAGGGAGGGCGACGGAGCCGGCGATGGTCGTTTTCCTGCGGCTCGTCGGGTTGGAGTCACCTGGAAAAAAAATTTCGAATCGCTTTGATCCTACGAAAATATTATAAAACATCACCAACGGATCCCAAAAGAAATGTAATAAAGGTTCGGAGGGAGGAGGAACTTGAATAAAACAGTAGGAGTAGGGATAACCAGTAATTTGCGAGGAGGGAAATAATAATTAGGCGGGTATTGCAAACAATTTTATGCGACTTCTCAGATGTAAAACTCACAAGTCAAACCTACTACAGTGGGGGACCTGATCCAGCGGCAAAAAACGTACCATTTTGCATCCAGGAAGTATCAAAAAATGTGGCAAAATACCTCCGTCTCCAAGTGAAAACACTATGATTTCAAAGGCGCGCCCGCTCTTTTTGTGAGGGACCGTTCAAAACGCAGTTTTTTAACTTGGAGGGGAGGCATTTTGCCACATTTTTTATACTTCCCGGATGCAAAATGACACGTTTTTTGGCACAGGATCAGGTCCCCCAATGTAGTGGGTTTGACTTGTGAGTTTTACTCCTGAGAAGTCGCGTAAAATTGTTTCCAATACCAGCCTAATTATTATTTCGCTCCTCGCAAATTACTGGTTATCCCTACTCCTACTGTTTTATTCGAGTTCTATACTTGACTTCTTTGATCTTTCCATTCCACAGTATCACCTCAAAATTCGACTTTTTCCGCAATTGCAACCCCCTATTTTTTATACCTCGAAAACAATGAGGATTCCAAACCACGACCCTTCTGACCCCGGCATCCCTTTTTAAGCCAATTCTAATTCCATAAAAGGGCAGAAGGGGAATCTGAGACCTTAAACTTGAGGGAAAACAAGACTTCTCCGGAGACCTTGAACCAAAATCCCAAAAAAAAAACATTCGAATTTCATTTCCGTTTTGTTGGTTCTTTCACTTTCGCCGCGTTTCCACGGACGACAATAGGAAGAGCAGTCGGAATTGTACTATTCAAGACATCGAAATTGGAGGTTTCTTTTCTCCTGGAGGCGATAATTAGTTGATCTGATGGCTTTTTGAATAAGAATTAGAAGGCTTTTCAAGCGCTTTAGCCTCGTATTTTACCCCAGATTTTTGCTCTTTCCATTAACTTTTTATCAAATTTTTCCTAAACTAACATCAAAATCGACAATTTATTGATAAAACTTATTCAAAAACATTAAAAACGAGTGTCGAATCATAACGAACATCAATTAAATTGTCGTATTTTACCTTAAACTCTACTGTTTGAAGAAATAATAGTCTTTTCAAAATTTTCTTTTCATCCCCACCTATCTACAAATCTTTTCCCACCTTCTACGCCCCATACTCTTCCCAAACTTTACCCGAATCATAAACCTTTCAAATTCTCCATCAGAATTTCGGAATTTCCGCAGAATCCCCGCGGAAATTCGAAGAGCAGTGGAAAGGAGAAGAAAAGAGGGAAGTGGAGTGGGCTTTTTTCTTGACTTCATTTCAATTAAAAACATTGCTTTGAATTTATTTTCAGACTTTTGGGTGAACAAGTTAATGACTTAATCAAGACATCGAACAGCGAGGAGGCTTCTATTTTTGTATTCTCCGGAGATCAATTTGGAATAAAGGAATTACAAACAAAAGGAATAAGTATTGTAAAATTAGCTATATTATCCGTACTACGTAAATTTTTTGAAAAACTCGATAGAATCAAGTCAAAAATGGCTACAACACCTTCAAAATACTCTTATCTTTCTTCTTGAAGCACTGGATCAAGTTTTTGTACCCCATAAAATAACAAATTCCCATCAAATTTGCGAAAAAATGACATCAAAAATGTTAATCATCCCCATAACTAGTCATTCCTTATGCAAACAAAAGGTGACCAGTATCAAAATGTTTGATTTACTCTTTATCTACATCAAAGAAACATTTTTGACTCAAATTTCAAAACTCTTTTAGGTATATTCCAATAATAAACTGTTAACAACACAGTAGTGTTAAGGAAAAACCTTTCTCTATCCTCCATGATGGATAATATAAATATTTGGCCTATAAATTCACAAAAAATTTTTTGAAAAGTCATTCAAAGCCCTCCCCCGACCTAAATGCTTCTGCAGCTCGTTTCTAACTTGAACAAGGCTACAAATTCTCTCCTAAACACCAAAAAAATAAATAAGTCAAACTACTCACCTTCAAGCCGGTTCTCGTCGCTCAAAGTGCGTCGTTCCAGGGGCGGTGGTGGCTGATGGCGCAGCTTCTTCTTCGTGGCTTCGAACTCAGAGGCCGTGGAGTGTTTGGCGGGCCGTTTCTGGCGATGGGAGCGACGCGGATTGCTGCGGCGACTCGAGTCCGTGGACCGGGTGTCCAACAGCGCGTCGCAAATTGATATGTCTTCCTGAAATGAGGCGAAAATATAGAGAGCTTTAGATAAAGGGGGAAAAATTATATTATCCATGATAAAGATTATATTACACATGAACAAAAATAATGCAAAATTCGATGTCAAACAATTGGAAATGTGCTAGCAGACGTATTTCACAACAAAAACATTGATTCTCTCGTCAGGGCTAATAAGAATTAAAATTTGTCAAAACATTATATTAACCAAGACAAAAAATCTTTGAAATTTCCCCCAAAACATAATTCAAAATGCAAATCCCTTCTGTTTATAGTATCTCGCAGCTGATTCACGACCCTACTCAAACTTTGGCTCAGAACGAGACCAAAAATTATATTCTCCATGATCAAAAATACTCTCAAAAACACTAATCTAAAATGCCGGAACAAAATTTAAAAATATATTTTACATCACGCATGACATATACCTTTAATTAAAAATCCATTTCCACTCAGCTTTAGACAAAAATTATATTATCCATGCCTAAAAGCCAAAATGAAACGCCCCGAAGAAAGTCTGAAAAGAGAGTTTCCACTTCAAAAACGGAGTGGGAATTCCATTTCCAGCTCCACATGTTTTCATATTTCCATAAACAAGCGTTTTTTGAAGGCGAATTCACCTGACTTTCAAAGTTCTCGAGTGTTTTTCACACGATTTTTGGGCGTTTAAAACGGTTGTAACGCAAAATGTCTGCCATAAATATCATTTTGAGAAGTTTTAAAGTAAAAAGATTTACTTTCAACATTTCCAATCCGCCTTTGAAGCCAAATGGCTTCGAAATTTATACATTTACATGACTAATTCAGGAAAAATTTCACAAAATTTTTGAAAACCCCGGTAAAACAAGACCAAGGCACGCGGGATAGGTGTGGAAGAGACACATAAAACATCGACGTGCGGGCTCCGCTAATCTCGACTAATTAGAAACGATTTTAACCTTCGACAAATTGGGGGCCTTGTCATCGGAATTTCGGGGATTAATCTCAATGAACAAAAGGGTAAATTATTCGGGGGAGGAAGTAATTTGACAAGTAAACAAGTGGGAAGTGGCCACGAAAGGGAGTGCTTTTGATTATGACGTCAGACGAAAAATTTTTGCGACTTTTCCCTCCAAAAGGACGGAAATTTGGGGATCATCTTAAATTTTGGTCATAAAATATCTCGAAAAGGGAGAAATGTAGTCTAGCAGCAATGATCACACTCTACGCGTCCTTTTACATTCACTTTCCCACCAGTATTTGCCAGAAACGCTGTTCAAAAATCCACATTTACATCAACCTATGCCTAGTACAATATAAACCTCAAAAGAGAAAGATTCAGAACCTTTAATGCAATAAACTAGAGTCCAAATAAAAGTAACTATCTCTATACTTCCTCTGACATCAATCTTTATACCAATTACCATCAAAAAACTGTATCAAAATCAATTTTTTACCAACCAACACCTAGTATAATATAAGCCTCCAAAACCCCAAATGAAAAGGCCGAGAACCCGAGTCATTGACACTAAACATCGTGGAAAACGTTGAGTCTTCCCAGAATTTATGGGAAAGTTGGTCTCTTCCCCTTGAGTCGTTCTCTTTTCGCCTTCTAAAGCCAATTAATCCCCCACTAAAGAGCTCCGACCTTTTTTACAATAAATTGCTTTAATTGAAGGAGGAAATGTATTGTAATATCAAAAATAACGCTGTAAACTTCTTCGACAACTTGTCCGACAAGTGGAATTATAGCCTTGAGATGGACTTTTTGAGTAAAAACTAAATTCCCGGCTAAAATATCTGGTTTTAGGGCAAAAATACGAATTTTTGGTGTTTAGAGCTGAAAATGGTGTGAAAGTAGTTGAGAAAACAAAAAACTGACTCAGAAGTTGATGGAAAACACTTTACCCGACAGCTGTCGCGACAGGAATTACTCATTTCCGAGCGTCAAAACTTCGCGAGAAAAAATGTGGGAAAATTATTTTCGCGCCTAGAAAATCCGTCGTAATGACATGGAAAAGACGCTAATTTTTGATGGAACAAGGCGCGATTATTGGTTACGGAACATTTCTGTAGTCTAAAAAAATTGATTGTCGTTTTTTTCATGAAGACTGACACCTCTATGGCCATTGATGACTGTCATTATGACACATTTTAAAACGAACGATAATCAGAAGAAAGCAATAAAAAATGGCCTACTAGGAGTCATACGACGCAGCCGATTTATTTTTCCGAATTCAAAGAATTAATTATAGCGGTTTCAGTCATTACGAGCGTCATGATGACACCACCAAAATCTCTATTTTTCGTCCGGAGCAAATCATAATTGCGTCTATACAATCAAGCGGCAAGAATACACTTATAACAGTTATTAAGTGTCCCCCGAACCCCTTGATCCCACATCATCAAACTTCAGACACCTAGTGTAATATAAAATTGATGAAACATCGTAAAAACCCCTCTTTAAGCCATAAATAATCATCAAAAATTGCCTTTAAAGGACATTTTGGTCACTGTTTTGCTCTAATTTCCCTTCTCAACCCCATTATATACATTATTGTAGTAGATGATGATTGACCTAAAGGGCAAGATCATCGAATTTGTTTGCAGGAACACCCAAATCCGACCTCCTATGACCTGTTTACAACGTATATAAATACACAGTTAGTCAGGCGTGTCTAAACATTCCGCTCAAAATCATAAAAAATCATAAAAATTCGCTCTCTTCGCCCCGGAATAGAAATAAAGTCGAGGGTCTCGAGTTAAACAATCAACAAAAAAATCCTTGAATTTTGCTCTCACTCCGATATTAAAAAAGGAAATGTCGAATTATTTTAAACATTTTTTAAATGCTGTTTTACATAGATCGCAGATTTGAAAAAAGTTGTCGAAAATGGGCTAAACAGTAGCGTAAATTTCGAGTTGAAAAGATTTACTAGCGGCTAAACTTGAACACTCAAAATTTAGAGTGGTTTGCACACAAAGGATAAGGTTTCCATGGGGAATATTGCTGCGTGATAACTGAACCCTATAAACAGCGACTATGGAATTTGCAATTCGAATTATTATTACACATCGAAGGATTTGAGGGTTTAATTTTTATTGCACCTTGCAAAAGATATTTGGAAAAATCCGCACAGTGCAGAGAGAAAATGAATTTTTAAACTTTGCACAGTGCGGTTTCACTTTTGACACAATTTTTGCAAAGTCCAAAGATTCGATTTTCCCCCCAAAAAAGAGAAGCCCTTTGCTCTTGCACAGTGCAAAACTTGCGACGAAACTGTCGCTCCTTTTGCACTGTGCAAAAAAACAAAAGAGGATTTTTGAGTTGCGCACAGTGCAAAAAATCAAATAATTTTTCTGCACTGTGCGGGAAGAAAAACGGAAAATTGTAACTTTTAAATTTTTTATCAGCATAAAGTAGCCACTAATCACGTAAATTGTAAAAAAGTAAAACAAGATTTAAAATTGCAACTACTGATAACCGCAAAGATTGTAAAACGACGAAAAAATTGTAAAAAAATGACTGACCTCGCGTAATCGTCGGCTGAACAAATAATTGCGTCGCGGCGCATATCTGTGCGATGATAAGGGCGAGGAGAGGCCCTCATTCACCTGTTGGGAGGCAAATTGCTGGTTCCGCTCGACATATGAGAAGATAATTTTGAAAAATGCGGGGAACTCCGGCTGAAAGCGGGTAAATTATTGGCTGTTATCGGACTTTATTTACTTCGGACAATAGAAAATTTTAAAATAATCGAATTTAAGATGCATTGAAATTAAAAAGTCGGCATTTTTTGAAGAAAAATAATAAAATTCAAGGAATTAATAGTAATCAAAAAATTAAAAAATAAGTTTAAAGTAAGCAGAAACACGGGCCATAATTTTAGGCGTTATAAACAATTAGTTTACCAAAAATTTTATTTTATACTTCAAATTTGCCTAAAATCATCAAAAAATTTTAATCATTTCCCAAAATCTATATAAATTTTTGTAAAATACACATCTCCAAACGCGAGCACACTTTCTCCAAAATAATCCTCCTGTTACTTTATTCGGAAAACAACTCCCCTTCCGAATTGATAAGGAAATGCAAATTTATGCAAAAGTAATCAAATTCCGGCCCTTGACTGCAAATAAAATTATGCGATTCGGCCTGCATTAGAGGCCGGGAAGGGTGATAACACGGTTAGAGTGGGTCATGAACCGGAAATCCGGTGATGTTATCGGGATAAAACGGGATAAAAATATAATATATGAAATATACAAAATATGTTGTTGTGGGCAAAAATAGATGAAAAAAGATGGAAAACTTGTATAATAACGCCAAAAAAATTTGTTTATAAAAGATACAACTACAGAACAAGGGTTTACAGACGTTATTTCATAAAAAAAAAACGAAATTTAAATACAAAAATTATATTGTAGAAGAAAAAATAGGGTACTGTAATAGGCAGAAAACGTATAAAAATGACTTAAAAATACGGAGAATTTATATCCATCAGAAAGGCCACTCATATTTTTCATCTCTGAGATCCGTATTTTACTCAAAAGTCGCCTGATTTCGCCTGAAACCCTTAAAAAAGCCCTAAACTTGGGCCGCTGACCATTAGCTATGCTGTACCGCAAGCATAATCAAATTCACATCTCGTGCATTCCCACTGTTTGCAAAATTAGATTAAGCATGCAAGGAGGCAACGAATAACCCCGTATTTCCACCAGCCACGCATATTTTATTAACCTGGAAATTGAAAAAATTTAAAATTTTGGTAATTCCGATGACAAATATTGTAAAATAAAATACGATCAAGGTTGTCATTAAAAATTTTTAATACATCGGCATTTTAAAACTCTGGATTAAAAACTCAAAATTTAGAATTTTGTATTTTTTTCACGGTGCGGAGACAACCCAAATTTTACGCACTGTGCATAAAACAGTGATCTTTCAAATTCCCGCACTGTGCAAAATCAGCGACAAACTTTGGATTCCGTTTGCACAGTGCGACAAAAATTGAGTCTTTTCTTCGCACAGTGCGAAAAATATCACCGCTTTTTTCGTTTGCACGGTGCAAAACCTGC